AAGAATTCAAAAGAAAATTCAACAATCTCTTCTAATTGAAACCAGACAGGTTTCTAGTTTTTATCGAAATCCAAAATTTCCTAGTGAAATTTATGATGAGCTAAACGAGGTATGGAAAAACTATATACTCGAAAAAAAGTAAAAATTTCAAAAACATATAGGAAAACTATCAAACTTGATAGCAAATCAAAGTCTGGAATTTTCAAAACTAAAAGAAAAAAATATTTGAGTCCTTTAAACAAATGGATTGGAATGAAAAATTTTCTTTTGAAAAAATTAATTCATTCTTAGAAGGGGCTCATCTAATAGATAGCCAATATACTGAGCCGATTTTCGAAAAAATTAAAAGAATATGTATATATGAGAAAGCAAGAACTGTTTGACCTCATTAAGTATTTGAAAAAATCTCTAAAATTGTTGATTCTTAACTAATCTTTGAATTCTCGGATGAGTATTTTCCTGATTTATATAAGGATTCCATAAATAATATAAATACTATAATATGTTTCTACCATGAAGAATGGTGCCATGACGCCATCGATTGAGGAGTTGCAAGAAGATTGGTCATCGAGCATCTAGATTGGATGAAGACATTTTCCTAATTTCATAAAAAGCATGCTCTATAAAGTTTCCAAGTCATGGAAATTTAACAAATACCTCACTTTTAAACAGTGTTTTTCAGGTCAATGTATAATCTGCATCGTTTTGCAGACTATATTCGTCGACATGTCCACAAATTCTTCTTTTAGAATTTTTTTGAAGTCTTTTAAGATATCTTCTATATGTTTATCTTTATCTGAGAGTAAATTAGTTTTTTCTACTTGGCCTCTAGTTGAATTCTCCCATTTTCTAGGAAATTGCTGGGTATCTCCTTGCAATGTTCTGGCCAGATAGTCCAAGAATTTTACCTTAGACCAAACGCTTTTATAATTAGCTATAACCAGGGTCATTGATTGAGCCCAATCGTTAATAGCTTGATTATATTCTCCAAATGGTATATTCTCTAGGTCAAGATATGTGCCATTGACTGTTACATTCTATTTATTTAAATCTTCCCTTTTGAGATTAACATTTGGGCTATGATTTCAAAATGGAGAAGGCTTTTCTTCTTTATTTTGAAGAAATTCTTCTTTCTTGAGATTTTGAAGGTAATCTTCGAACTCTTCGGGTGTCTAGTGCCTAGTATATGGGTCTGAATCTAGGTGGTCTGGTTCTTCGATTTTTCTTTTTCCCTTTTTAGCTTCAGATTCTTCATTTTTAGATCCTAAATCATTTATTTCATTTGCAGCAATCTTTTCTGACTCTTCATCACTATCATCTAAACTGATTATTAGATGATAATTATTTCTTAATATGAGTCTTCATGTTCAGTAAATAATTTTTGTATATTAGAAATAATATTGTTTCTTACTTTACATCCTTTTCTTCTATATATCTTGATTTCCAGTATTTAATTATTTCTTTGATGGCTTCATAATTTTTTTAGTCATCTTCCTCTTAGGTTAATATCTCAGTTCCATACAATAATCCTTTTCTAGGTTTGTATGGCTTTTTAGAATCAAATGCTTTATCTAAGAGTGACGAATTCAAAAGAATATTTTATTCTTGGTTTAAATCGATATCTTTTAGTGTTTCTAGATTTTCTAGTTTTTCTTCAATATTTATCAAGCTATTGATTATCAGTTTGATTTTTATAGCTTACTTAGAACCAACTATTACATATATCTATCAAACCATTTAGACCCCTACTTATATGCTTAACATATTTTTCTGAAGTCATAACTATATGATAATTATCCTCGTAATTACTTTCCTCTAACTTTAAATCTTTGAATAACAAGTTATTTCAGCCATTAAAATTTCTTCTTGATACCTAAGACCTCCTACGAAGCAATTTCCTTTTACTGTCCTGGCCTAACACGCACTTTTGGCTTAAATTGGCTTGGACTACAAGGTGTTATTCGCAGGTACATGGGTTTTATAAGAAATTAGTACAACTGAATAACAAGTAAACGAAGAATTTAGAAGAGAAGTACATACGGAGTATAATCAACAGAATAGACAGCCTTAAAGATTTATGCTTTCTGATATCAGTTACAACAACAACACAGAAAGCTTTAGAATCAACACAGATCAATAATTTTAGAGATTTTTTCAAATACTTCATGAGGTTTCTTGCTTTCTCATATAGACATATTCTTTTAATTTTTTGGAAAATCGGCTCATTAGATTGGCTATCTATGAGATGAGCCACTTCTAAGAATGAATTAATTTTTTCAAAACAAAATTCTTTATTCCAGTTCATTTGTTGAAAGGACTCGAATATTTTTTCTTTTAGTTTTAAAAATTCCGGACTGTGATTTGCTATCAAGTTTGATGGTTTTCCTATATGTTTTCGAAATTTTGACCTATTTTCGAGTATATGGTTTTTCATACCTCGTTTAGCTCATCATAGATTTCACTAGGAATTTTTGGATTTCGATAAAAACTAGAAACCTGTCTGGTTTCAACTGGAAGAGGCTGCTGAATTTGCTTCTGCATTCTTACACTATCTTTGTAAGAGATCGGTTCGAGTTCATAAGTTTGAGCAAATTGAGAATATAGAGGGACCTCCCTAATCTTCTCTGTCTTCAAGGTCATTTCTCTCCCTTGTTTAGAGAAATCTCCTTTCTTCTCCTTGCCTAGGAGTGGCCTTTTGCCTTTATCCATCAATCTGTATTCCTGCTAAGAAAGTCTGCAAGAATGTGATGAGTTCTTTTAATAAATTAAAATTTAAAATTATAATGACGAATTTGATTTGACCATCTAATTCTTCTAGGATTATCTTCCCTTTTTTATTTGTAAGAAAATTTCTTACAGCTTTATTATCTGTTCTGATAATAAATTATTCAAGTGCCAAATAAATATGAAATCTTTGAATTCCTCTTAGGACTGCCAAAAGCTCTTTTTCATATGTAATATAATTTTCTCATTTGGATTAAATTTTCCTGAATTGTAGCCACATATGAGTTCTTCTATGGCTACGACAGCTTTGAAGACCACGCTCCAATTTTCATTCGAAGTGTCGGTTTCTAGAATAAGTTTATCCCCTTCTTTAGGGAAATAAACAGTTGGCACATTGTCAAGATCTTTCTTAATTTTTTTGACTACCTCTGAATCTTTATTTTCCCAAGTGAATACTCTATCTTTTTGAGTTTCTCTAGTAAGGGTTTTTCCTTTATAGAGAGATTTGGGATAAAATTTCTTTCGTAATTAAGAATTCCTAAGAGACTTTGTAGATGTTTTTTATCTACCAGTTTATAGGGAAATTTTTTAATTTTTGCAATAATTTGCTCTTGTAATATCATACCTTGTGGTCTAAAATTATTCCTAAAAATTCAATCAAAGTTTTTTCTACTTCAATCTTTTTAGGGCTTAGGATAATTCCATTATCTAGGAATTTATCTCATATGATTTTTTGATGTTTTTTGTGATCTTCTAGTGTCCTAGAAAATACTAAAATATCATCAATGTATACCACACAAAAATCTTTTAAGTCTGAAAAGATTTTATCCATCCATCTCTGAAATATTTGAGGGGCATTATATAATCCAAACGGCATTATCTTCCATTGATAATGACTATAAGGTGCACTAAAGGCAGTCAATGGTTTTGACTCTTATGTTAGCATAGTTTGCCAAAAACTAGACTTACAATCAAACTTACTATAGTATTTTGAATTTTTTGTTTGATCGATTAATACATCTTTTCTAGGTATAAAGTATCCATCAAATTCCAAATTTTGGTTTAGCCTTTGGTAATTTATTACCATTCTTGCTTTACCTCTTTTTTTCTTCATTATGGTTTCTTACCATAAATGCATGGCTACAAGGTGGACTTGTAGTGGGTTCTATAAGTCATTTTTCTAGGAGTTCTTTTATTTGGATGGAAAATTCATCTATATCCTTTTTGGTGTAGACCATGGTTTTCACTTTAATAATCCTGTTTGGATCACAGAGTTTTATACTACAATATCTAGTGTTTTTTGACCATAGCTTTAATGGATCTTCACTAAGTACCAGTTTTCTCCTTTTTGAATGGAGAAAACAGGTATTAATTCTAGATAAAATTAATTATCATTGACTGATTCTGATAATTGAGTTATTGAAGTTTAATCTAGGTGTAACACTTTGCGAAACTGGTAAAACTTCTACATAGAACATATGTTAATTTTTCTGCTTGCTATTTCTTTGACTACATCTGGCTATAAACCTATTAGAATCCGAATTTCTTTTATAAGAACAAAAATGTCTTATTTGAGAGGAAGAGGCAATATTAGAGAAGCAATCTCTTTCTTTGTTTATCAAGAAAGCACTATTACATAGTCATAATTATTTTTGATGATGCTTGGCTCATTCAGGTGTGCTGACATTTTTTTGACATAATAATCCTCTACAGGTCATTGAATAATCACACTTCACTTTTGAGGAACTATCACATTTTTCCCAGGAAAACCCCCAAATTTTACCGAGTTTTCTTTCATCGCTTATTTTTTCATGTTTACCTTTATTGTTGAGAACTGTTGTGGATCAAAAGAAACAATTGAGGAAGGTCATTTCCTTTAAATCATATGTGAACTAGGTCGCTGGTGTAACTTTTGTGGGGCCACAGTTTGCAGGAAAAATGCAGAAGTTTTGATCCGATATGGTTTTTCTGCAGGCTAAAGTATTTATGTTAACCTATAGAAAAAGGTGAATGGACTAACCAAACTGTAAGCGAATATAATATTTTGTCTCGAGTCTCTTGACTATAACAATATATGAATGAAATGATGTCTAATGCACCACTTTACACTTCATGTCCTAGATATATATTTTTGCATGCTTAAATTATGACATTGTAATAGCATGGAAATCATGTTCGCTAATATCATTGGGATCTCTAAAACATCATATACACTCGTTAACTTTGTCATGACAAACATATCATCATGGTTCCTTCTTTCTCATAATGATCTACAGGAATGAGGCAGATCTGATCAGCGAAGTTGTTAAAAATGTTCAAGCCAAGTTGAATTATGCACCAATGCATGTTGCTGATCATATTATTGGACTTGATTCTCGGGTTGATGATGTGATGAGACTCCTAGATGTCAATGCTGACGATGTTAGGATGATTGGGATACATGGGATGGGGGGGCTTGGTAAGACTACTCTTGCCAAGGCAGTATACAACAAAATATATACCAATTTTGAGGGCTCGTGTTTCCTATCAGATATCAGAGATGCTTCACGATCAGATCTTGGACTTGTCAAATTGCAGAAGCAACTACTGCTTGACTTGTTTCATGAAGAAGACTCAAATGTAAATGACGTTGATAGAGGTATCATCATTATCCGGAGTAGAATCAGGTCTAAGAAAGTCCTTCTTGTATTGGATGATGTTAATCATGAAAGGCAGCTGGAGAAATTAGCAGGTAAACGGGACTGGTATCGTGATGGAAGTAAGGTTATCATCACTACCAGGGATGAGCATGTACTGAATGTGCATAAAGTGGATAAGCATCATATCTACAAGCTCAAAGAATTAGATCCTAGCCAATCCCTTCAACTCTTTAGCAGGCATGCATTTGAGATGGATCAACCTATTGAAGGCTACATGAAGCTCTCGGAGAATGTGGTATCTACTACAGGAGGGCTACCCCTGGCCCTTGAAGTATTGGGATCACACTTTTCTGTTATGACAACCTTGGAGGAATGGGAAGATACAGTGAGACATTTGAAAAATATTCCTGACGATGATGTCGTAGAGAAGTTGAAGATAAGCTATGATGGCCTAATTAAAGAAGAGCAGCAAATATTTCTTGATATTGCATGCTTCTTCATAGGAATAGACAAAGATTATGCCACTGATATATGGAAAGGTTGTGGTCTTCCCAATTCAATTAGAAAACTCTTGCAAAAGTCGCTTATCAAGATTGATGATGAGAATAGGTTGCTAATGCACGACCAACTTCGTGACATGGGGAGACGTATTGTTCAATTAGAAAACCTGGATGACCCTGGCAGGCGTAGTAGGTTGTGGTGTCATGATGTTGTCTTCAATGTGTTAAAGAATTGCAAGGTGAGGGCTTGCTAGACATATTAATATTATTTTATTCATATGGATTACACTTAAATGAATGATAGAATAGGAATGGGGTTATCTCATGTACAGTCTGATTTTAGTATCTTATAATGACTAACATATATGTTCACTATTGTAATAGGGGACTAGAAAGGTTCGAGGCCTAATACTCAATGAAATTCCATTAGAGGAGAGGCAGTGGGAAACCGAAGCATTTAAACCAATGACCAATCTGAAACTACTTAGTGTTAATCATACATTTCTTGAAGGTTGTTTCAAAGTTCTTCCGTCAGAAATAATATGGCTACAATGGCAAGGGTGCCCGTTAGGGTACCTCCCAGATGATTTTAATCATGAAAAGCTTGTTGTCCTTGATTTGTCACACAGCCCGAGCATGCGGGTATTGCAGGACCCATCTCAAAATAAGGTCAGTTACTTTATTTAACCTTGTCGCTTGTCACTTCTTTTGTTTTCCATCTGCATAACTCTTCATGGACATCTTTTTCTTTTTGTAGACAATTTCTTCTCAACAGGTGGTTCAAAAGTTGAAGGTTCTTCATCTGAATGGCTGCTCTAACTTAATCAGAACTCCCAATTTTTCTCGATATGCAAGCTTGGAGAAGTTGAATCTTGAAGGATGTGTGATGCTGGCTGAGGTTCATGACTCCATTCACGTTCTTGGGAAATTAATTAATCTGAACTTGAAGTACTGTTTCCTCCTCAAGGAACTGCCAAGCAGTATTTCAGGGCTGCATTCTCTTGAAAAGCTTCTTCTGTCTTATTGTTTAAGACTTAGCAAGTTACCAGAACAGTTGGGTTCCTTAAAATCATTATCAGAGCTTATCCTTGATGGAACTACCATAGAACAACTACCAAAATCTATTGGATCATTAAAAAGACTTCGAAAACTCTCTCTACTTTCTTGTATGTCCCTTAAAGTATTGCCTATCTCAATTGGTGAATTGGAATCACTACAAGAGCTTTGGTTGGATGGGACTGCAGTGAGCGAACTACCCAACACCATAGGTTCACTAAAAAAGCTCAAAATCCTGAGTGCATCATGCCAATCACTTAATGCATTGCCCAACACAATTGGAGGTCTAGAGTCTCTGTCAGATCTCTTATTGGAAAGTACATCACTTACTGAGCTACCAAGTTCAATAGGGAAACTTTCAAATTTGAAGCGGTTATGGGTTACTGGTTGTCAATCACTTGGTAGAATACCCGAGTCAGTTGGGGGACTAAATATTCTTGCTGAGCTCCGTTTGGATAGGACAAACATGATTGGGTTGCCTGATTCTGTTGTAGATCTTAGTGGGCTTGAGGAGCTAGATATAAGGGGTGGCGTTTTTTTCAAGAGGTTACCTGATTCAATTGGAAATTTGAGTAACCTTTCTACCCTTCTCCTTGATAACACTATCATAACGGTACTACCTACTTCAATAGGATTTTTGGTGAACCTTAAGAAGCTGTCCATGAGCAAGTGCAGGGAACTCAGTAAATTGCCAGCTTCAATGGGAAACTTGAAGTCTCTGCAACATTTAAATGTGGAGGAAACTCCTATAGTAGAATTACCTGATGACGTTGGACTGCTTTCTAACCTGGTTGTTTTGGAAATGGCACACTGTCGACACCTCAGAGAGCTCCCTGTAAGCTTTGGCAGCCTTAAGTGTTTAAGGACTCTCAAAATTCAATACAATTGTGAGTTGACAAGGCTTCCATCTAGTTTCTCCAGTCTTTGTTCCCTGGAGGAATTGGATGCAGATCATTGTAATCTCCAAGGGGTGATTCCAGACGATTTTGAAAACTTTTCGTCATTGACAACCTTGAACCTAAGCTACAACATATTCCAAAACCTGCCCAAAAGTATGAGTGGCCTTTCTCAGCTTAAAAAACTATCCTTATCTCATTGTACGCAGTTGTTGGAGATCCCTGAGCTCCCCACCAGTTTGGCTTTCCTAGATGCTGTGAACTGCACAAATATGGAAAAGTTGCCTGACCTCTCTTGCCTTTCTAAACTACGAGAATTGTATCTCACAAATTGTGAGAGGCTAATCGACATACAAGGTCTGAATGGGTTGACATCCTTGGAAGACTTGTACTTAAACGGGTGTGGCTCTTATGTATCAAATAGTCCAGGTCTAGGAAAGGTATAATTCTTCCTTGAAAAGAACAAACTTTTGGTCTTGTATCTTTTATTTATTTATTTGATGGCTGAATTTTGTTTCTTTTGATATGATATTTTTATGTAATGTACAGGAAACATTTATACAATTACGTCATTTTGGTGTGTCTGGAAGCAAAGTTCCAAGCTGGTTCATGTTTCAGACACTATCATGCGTGATACCGAGAGTCTCGGATGAGGGCCTGAAGGTTAGAGGAGTGATATTGTGCTTGGTTTTATCTGTTGATAGTGAGATGCCAATTGATGATGGCCTTGACATTCCACATGTTCAATTCAAGGTCATGAATAATGGCATGCAAAGGATGAGTCCTACACTTAAGTTGGGCAACCCAAAGGCTAACCAAGACCAAGTTTATTTATACCATTTTCAAGAAGATGATGCTCTTGTCCTTAACTTGGAAGATGGGGATGAAGTTAAAATCATAAATAATTGTCCACCATTAACCCCATCCATTCATATTAAGAAAGTGGCAATTCATCTTGTTTACAAGCCAGAGGATACCAAGGATTCAATTCAAGAGAAGCTAGCAGAGTTCTTCAATTCAATGGATGCTCATGAGGATGCTCTTGAGATTGTACAGTTCCACAGTTTACAGGCCCACAATTTACAGACCTATCATCCTGAACGGTACTAAATATTGTTTTTTAAGGGCCGCTAAACTATACTTCTTATATATCAAATATACTTGGACAACTGATATTGAATAGATTCAAATATATTCAATATCAGATGTCCAGGTAAACAAATGCATTAAATTGGAATGCATATTTTTCTTATTGTCTTTTAATTCGGTTCTTCACAAATGCATCCTCCTATAAACTGAGTGTCAACAGTCAACAGCCCTTGAACGAGAAAAATGTATCAAATTTAGACCTGCTCGTTCTGATCTTTAAAAGGAATTAAACTTGTTTTTTTATTATAGAGAACTTCCCACACATTTACAATACGATCCTTTTTTGCCTCAACTCTCTCTCTATATATATATATATATCTGTCTATTTGGACATGTAGTTGGTAAACGTGTGTTGCATGCATGTCACCTGTTACATGTGCATGTTTGCTTGCATATCATACTGTATTCTTCACAGTTTGAAGTATGCATCATGGTAAACCTTATATAGAATCACGTGCATGTGCAGGAGGATGCGATCTGGTATTTTGTTGCTGGTGGTGATACTTTGTTGTTTCTATTTCTGGATGATGTAATGCGATCAAGAGTTTGACACGTAACTCTGTCAAAGCAAATCCAAGCCTGACAACGAGCGCCTTCTGTTGAACGTGCTCCCACTCGACCGGAATTGAACTTCTGAGGTATTCTTTATGGGACATATTCACGAAGTTCACTGGGAACTGTTGTCCTTGCCATCTTTTGTACAAATAACCGCACTGTCCTTCAATGACACATCTTCATGAATTCTCGTATGTTTTTAGTGGCTTTTCTGCATGTTACTATTTCGCTTTCAAGCATTAATAAGAGAATTAATGGTGGCAACCTTTCCATCTAAAACATAAAATACAAGTGAGAATCTATTTTAGCATGAGAGTATATTTAGGGAAGCCCCGGTTTTGGGGAAATAGAAATAGGATCCTGTTTTTTTTTGGTGAAAGTAATGTTTTTGTTTTTTGGGTAATTCAATAGTGAAGACAGGTCTCTACTCATTTTTTTCAAGTAGATTAGGAGTTAGGTTTTTGAAGGTGTTAGTGGGGTGGTGTTGGGGTGGGAATGGAAACTACAACGTGGTGACTAAGGTGTGGGGGTACTCCCACCATGACCCAACGCCTTTTCAAAACTGCAGTGAGCGTTGATTAAAAGTGGTAAGCTAAGAGGATTTGGCCCCATACCTTTTGGTGAGAATGGAATCAGAGCTTGGCAATACTACTGTCAAAGCCGCAGGCCATTCTCAAAATGGGATCCCGTTGTACTCCTCTAGAATCATTTGCGTTCCTTGTGGAAGGAAGTAATTATACAGCAGATTTACAAGGAGCAGAGAGCTGATATTGAGTGAGCTAAATGCTGGAAAACTGAAAATATCTTGAAAGAATCAAAATCATCGTTGATTGTTGGTGTGCGGGTGAACATGAGCTTGGACCGGGCACAAGCGATAGTGTAACTTATGGTTTACTTTAGGGTTGAGAATTTACTCGATTTGGATCCAAAACCCGAATTTCATATCTTATTCGGATTCGGGTATTTAATAGGTTGGAGTCGGATCCAAATTTTGGATCGGATTAGTCATTCTGAGATTATGCAAGCATTTTTGCTACTACACTGTTCATTCTAGTTCCTACTGAATTTCCACTTATCATTTATGTAAAATAGTCAGTCAAAGTGTTGAATGAAACTTGAATTATTAGTGTGATCATTGAAGATATGAAAGGGATTCTAATTCTTACAATTCCAGGTCTTAAATGATGAAGTTTGAATTATTAGTTTGATCATTGAAGATATGAAAGGGATTCTAATTCTTACAATTCCAGGTCTTAAATGAGTGGATTAGATTGAATTAGCAGGGTAGTAGATTAGGTTGAATCGAGAGGATATGGATAGTGTAGATAGGACGGTAGAAAGAACTATATGAATCATTCGATTTACTATCTATTTTATCAATCTTAGACACTCTAAGATCCTTTTTCAAACCTTCACCCACTGCACTAATCTGCTGCGTTCGTAATGGCTGTGTGGGTCGAAGACCAAGTAGTGAGTTATAGTTATCTATACTACATTATTAAGCCAAAGTAATGGAAGAAAGGACCTAGACAGATTCGTAGTGGCTGAGTGGGTCGAAGACCGAGAAGTGGGTATAGTTATCTATGCTACATTATTAAGTCAAAGTTATGGAAGAAAGGACCTCGAAAGAATGTGGGCTACATCCTTTTCAAACAAGACATAGTAAACCCCTAAAAAAATGCTTCCTTAAATTTTAATGTATAGAGAACAGAGAGAAGAGAGACGAGAGTGCAGCTCCTCAACATTCAAAAAAATAAAAAAGATGCTATTGAAGAGATCTTAAAATTTAGAAGGATACTACATAAAAGATATCTTACATGGATAGAAAGAGAGTCATGTGGTAAAATATTAAGAAAAAGAGTTATGTGGTAAAATATTGAGAAAGAGAGGGTATTCCCATTCCATCTTTAGAGAGATAAAGAGGGAAAGTTTCATGGATCGAGCAGATCTACAAAAATTTGAAAATTGAGAGTCTAAAACTGCATTATAAGATGCATTATTTCCAAATCTTGAAATCCATTTTTTTCTCATGTCCATGCGTTTTGATATCGAGATGATCAATTTGAAGATATTTGAATATCAAAAGAACTTCTTTTAATGAAAATTTTTATGTGGGCTTTAATTTGATTGTTTAGAGTCTCGGCTCTATATAAATTTTGTCCTTTAAATATTAGAATATATGATTTGGCCAATCAAACATGACCTACCAACAAAGAGACCCAAACATGACATACTAACAAACTGGACCCAAAAAATTAGGGAAATCTTGCTACCACCCCAGAAAAACATTAAAAATAAAAAATAAAAACTCCTTCACTTAAAACAAAGTCCCAACTCCCCTCAATTCAAAGAGCCCTTCCAAAACAAAACCCATCCACAACCCAACAAATCCTAAAGACAATCCCTACATACTCCACGCAATGACCCAAAACTCCTCCTAGTGGGCCCTCTACATGCATACATGTACAAAAACTTGCCTCCAAACACAAGCCAACCATGAAGGTCCACTACGTACCCAATGCTCTGTGCTCGCTCTCCTCTCTCCTACTACTCCTCCTCCTCCTCCTCCTTTTCATCTCTTTTATTCCCACCTCCATTGCTCAGCCCCCACAGGTCCTGGTGTGGCCCAAGCCCAGGAACCTCAAATGGGCTCCCCCCTACTCCTCCATCTTCCTCTCTCCGACCTTCACCATCTCCTACTCCGGCTCCAATCCCTACCTCCAAAACGCTGTTAGCCACTACCTCCGTCTCATTCTTGCCGAAAAATACACTCCCGTACGCCCTGTCCCCTCCAACCTCACTGCCTCCACTCTGCCTCTCCAAACCCTGACCCTCTCCATCAAGGACGAAATCGCCCCCCTGCAACATGGTGTCGATGAGTCTTACTTGCTCTTCAACACTGTAGTCAGCCACAGTGTGGGGAGCAATGCGTGGTTTGGAGACGGTCTCGCAGTTGGTTTGGGGCCAGGTTACCGGTCGCCCTTAAGATTTGGGATGCCCCTCTGTTTGAGCATAGGGGGGTGATGCTTGATACTGCCAGGAATTACTATGGGGTGAGGGAGATATTGAGGACTCTGGGGGCGATGAGCGAGAACAAGTTGAATGTGTTCCACTAGAACATCACGGATGAGGCATCGTTCCCAATTGTGCTGCCGTCGGTGCTGGAGCTGGCGGAGAAAGGGTCGTATGGGGCGGGGATGCGGTATTCGGCGGAAGAAGTGAGGGGCATTGTGGAGTTTGGGATGAGCCGAGGGGTCAGAGTAGTGCCTGAGATCGACAGTCCGGGTAAGCCCTCCTCCCCGTTAAGCCACTGGGTTGTTAAATGGTTTGTGTTTTTTTTTTTTAATGAAATCCGTTGCTTTCAGACCAGAAAATATTTCTGGTATTACAATAGAGTCCACATTTTCACGAATTTTAGGTTATATTTTTATTTATTTTTTTGTCTTTTTTCAATTTTAACCGCTGTTTTGATTTAACAACATTGGACCACCTTTTGTTTTTATTTTTTGATTTTTCTTAAACTTTAGGGCTTTCGGAGAGGTTGGAGGTCAATTGGCAGTTGTCTTATGTTTAAGACATTTGAATGTCCTAAAGTGGGACAATTCAATCTCCTGAACATAAGACATCCAAAGGTGTTCCCTTATTTTGTTTCAGACTTAACTTTATTCTTTGTTGATTTCGTTTAAAACCGTATCGATGTTTCCAACATTAGATTGGGTTTTTTAGTTATTTTTTATTGTATGATGTTTCATACATTGGACTGGTTTTTGGTCACGAGAAAATGTTTGATATTGGCTATATTAAATTGTCTAGGTTAAAAAAATAGTCCAATGTCACAAATATCAGACTAAAAAAATTTAGAATTGAGGAGATGCCTAATATTTAAGATATCAAATTGGACTATTGCAACATTAATAAATAAGTATAGGACACTCTAATGTTTCTAAATTTAAAGTGTGGAGATGCCCAACATTTGAGATATTTCTAAACCTTAGGATAGCTCTAAAATATAACAAAATATAAAAGAAATAATCTATAGTTCACAACCCTAGTTGTGAAGGGTCTATTTATGGACTGTGGAATTTTTTTTTTTAAATTACAATTTGTGATGTCCTGCTCATCAAGTAAAAGTGTTTGTGTAAATAGAACAAAAAAGCAATGGGTATTTTTGTTATTCTTAGGGATAAAGTTGAAATTTTTATTAAAAGACATAAGCACTTTATAAATAAAGTTTTAATTACTAATTTTCAAAATACTATTGCCCTTTTGTGAAAATTTCAAATTTATTATTATTTAGTGATTAACTACTATTAAAATAATTTTAAACAAAAATTAATGATTTTTTTAGATAAATATATCTATCACAATTCATTCTAACATCACTCTTTATATTTTGAAGGGTTGTCAACTTTAAAAAACCTAATATAAAAAGGTGTGTTGCAACCTTAAACAATCACCTCCAAATTTTGTCATAACATGTTAGGATTATTTGAAAATCTATTTTCATATGTAATTATAAAATTTTAACCTCTAAAATGGTTAAAATCAAGTAGATCTATAAACATATGAAAATATTGAAAATGGACGGTCTAGATAATGTGTTGCAATATGCATTATTTCTAGTACTCAAAATCTTTTTTTTTTCATATTCATACATCACGATGTCGAGATGATCAATTAGAACGTTTTTCCACATTAGAACAACATTTTTAGATGGATTTTTGAGCCGCATCTGTAATTCTACATTTTAAGGTGGCGACCTTATATAAGCTTTTTCTATATAAAAATAGGTTACGTTAAGGTGTTCACACTATATAGCATTTTATAATTGTATTCAACAAATTTTCGACACATATATACCATTGTTTTGTAATACAATATTCTTTTAGTAAGGGTATTTTTGGTTATTAGGAGAGGTGAGACATCATCCATATGAAATGTGATATCACCTTATAAAAATATCCAACCAGTTTAAAATATATAAATATCTTCTTAATACAAAGGTCAACATATTAAAAAAAAGAAGAAAAACATAAAAAAAATTCAACTAGTTCTACATTAGGACTAGGGGCAAAAATTGGAAAAAAAAAATGGAAAAAGGGAGCTCCGCCGAAATTTCATGAAAATGTGGACCATATCAAAAATTCCAAAATGTCTTCTTGTACATGAATTTTCCTTTTGGCTTTCTATGGTCTACAAAATGTCTTCCAGTACATAAATTTCCCTTTTTGCTAATGAAACAAAGGATTATGTTCTATGATCTACATGTACCAGTAGACCA